GGGAACCAGAATGGTTTTACTTTTGCTTCAGATTTGATTTGAATCACTAGCATTCCTGGTTCCTGATATAATTCCTCATTCTTCAGTAATAGTTTCTTGGTCTTTTTGTAGCTCAGCTCAGTCAGTAAAGTATGCAAATTTGCCAAAATAACCAGTAGATCATTTAACATAGAAAACTTTAAGTTATGTCTTAATTATGCCAATGTCAAAATAAAAGATGGGCAGCTTGGTTTATATTATATTAAAGTAAGTAGCATAAACAGATATTTCATTAGTAGCTTGTTTTCAATTTTGTACTTTGGCATACCTTTTACAGTGATAAATGAAGTTCTCCTTTTCGTTGGAAAAAGCCAAGTTACTGTTGTTTTTGGTTACATAGTTGCATTCCTTCAGAGCGTTAACAGCTAGCTAAAGACAAGAAACTGTAAAAGATATTTGCCTCAAGATATTTATTTCCTAGAATTACATGTTAATGACCTTATGAATGGTTTCTTCTTTCAATTTTCTTTGAACATTTTTTTAAAAATTGTGTTAGAAAACAATTGGAGTTAAATGACAAATATTTTGCCTTGATGTGAAAACCAGCTAACAATGAACTAGTCCTGACTATGTACTACCTAGAATTCCAGCGCCTCTGAATTCTCACAGGTGTGTATTTTCGGCTGTCCATTTGACATCTCCAGGGGAAAATTAAACTGCTTCCTCTGTTTCTCCTTTCTCCTTCTAAATCCCAGTCTTCATTAATGGTTAATGACCCGCCTTGTTCCCAGGTAGAAACCTTGTCCTGAAGTCCCAGCATTCTCCTTGACTCCCCATCTAATGAGTTTCTTGAGCCTGTTAATTTCACCTCCAGGTTGTTACTCTTTTTGATTCCGCACTGTCAGGCTTCATCGTCAGGCACTGTGTAGCTGCCTGAGTGGCTGCTTGCTGTCTGTCTCTCCTCACTTGTAATCTACCCCTCCTCTGTCCCAGTTTTCTCTGTCTAATTTCTTGGCTTCAACACCGCAGTGGTTTCTCATTGTCCGCAGATTAAGCCTCCCAGCATCCAGGACAGCCTTCGCAGTCTAGCTCTGGCCTGCTTTTCCTTCATTCTGTTCCTGCTGTAGTCTACACCTCAGCCTCACTGAACCTCCCACGGTTTCCCAGACGAGGTCTTGCCTGTGGCCTGTGTTGCTTCCTCCGCCCACAGCCCTCTGCTCCTGTGATGTCATCCTCATCACTGATGACCCTCTGGTGACCCTGCTAACATGTTTCCTCACCTGTGTTTACCATGCAGTTAGTCACTCTGCCCTCTGGAGTTTTCATTCTAGGCTGCTTGAGCTGTTTTTACTCACCATGCTTCTGAAAGAAAATGTGTGGGTTTTTTTCTCACACCAAACTGTTCTCGACCTCTCCAGACACCAACTGAGTGTCCTACAATTCAGTTTAGTCCTGACAATAACTAGCCTAGAGTTAGCATCAGACTCCACAGGCTTAAGGGCTCAGTCCCACAAGACTGCCTCACTTCAGATACCGGTTGCAGGTATTGGGTCCCCAGGTCTCCCACACTTCGATCCTACTTGGCTGCAAAGTCAGGGGGTTCCCACAGTCTGTCCCCCTTTCGGGCTTGATGATTGCTAGAACAGGTCACAGAGCTCAGGAAGGTGCCTTACTTACTATTACTCCTTTATTATGAAGGGTGCAACTCAGGAACAGCTAATGTAAGAGATGTAGGAGGGTGCTTCAAAAAGTTAACCAAAAGATTTGTATTATCTTTTAATTCTTATTTATTTGAATTGTCTATTTTATAGATGATATAGATATGTAGATTTTATATATATTATATATAAAATATAATTCTATTTTATTTATTTATTTGTATTATCTTTTAATTCTATGCCCTTGTGTAGGACAAGGTGTGGAGCAGGTGCAGGAGAGCTTGCTCTCTGGGCCCGCTTCTCAGTGTACTCACCAACACTCTCCAAGCCCCATTGTTAGGGGTTTTATGGAGGTTTCATTATGTAGGCATGATTGATTAAATCATTGGCCCTTGGTGACTGAACTTAACCTACAGCCCCTCTTCCCTCGCTGGAGGTGGGGAGTTGGGGCTGAAAGTTCCCACCCTGTAATCATGGTTTGGTCTTCCTGGTGACCAGCCCCTCCTGAAGCTATCTAAGGGTCCCGAGCCACCAATCATCTCATCAGCATGGGAAAGACACTGTTATCATGCTGGAGATTCCAAGGATGTTAGAAGCTGTGTTCCAAGAACCAGGGATGAGGAATAAATATTTCTCATTATAGCACACCACTTCTACAAATCCTGTATTGTAACAGGCTCCATGCCTCCCAGTGGCCACTCAACTGTGAGTGTCGGGAGAGGGAGGGGGGAGGGTCATTTCTTACTCAACGTTTACTTAGTGAATAACCTCTCCTTAGTACAGAACTCAGCTTCTTCTGTATTGGTTCGTGGTATTATGCCATCGTTTCTCGATATATATGCTATTATTGGCACGGAGTCAGTGTGGTTAGAATTCCATCCCTAGGAATATACCCCAAAGATTTGAAAACAGAGACTCAAACAGACTCTTGCATGCTAATGTTCGTAGTGCATTGTTCATAGTATCCAAAAGATGGAAGTACCCGTGTCCATCCACAGATGAGTGAGTAAACAATGGCTGTACGTGTGGTGTACAATTATATGTGATGATGATGTGATATATATTAATATATATGATGATATGATGCGTAGTTCACTAAATCTGGTGACCCTGAATTGCTATTTATCTATACACTAAATCTGGTAACCGTAAATTGCAGTCTAAATAAATTATGATGACATGATTTAAATCCCATGCCTATTAATAGATTTAAAATAATGTGTTTGTTTTTATTTTGAGAGAAAGGACACAGAATTAGGTTTATTTCAGACTTGTTTTTTAAAGCATTTATTTAGGTGTTTTGCTCATGTGTTTTTCAGTACAATAAAATATACACGCACCAACTCCCTCCCCCATATCTAGGGAATTCTTGAAAAACAGTTAAATCTGTATATTCTAAAATGTACCTGAAGGCAGAAAGATGCCCAGGATTATCAGTGTTTTAAGCCAAACACTTGAAGCAATAAGGTATTAACATGATAGACTTAAATTTAGGCAGAATTTTCATAGTTTCATTTTTGGGGGGATCTTTTTGAGTTGGTACTGTGTACCAGTAATATTTTCAAACCCTGTAAAATAGCATTACGTGAGGATAGTCTGTTGTCTATTAAAATATATGAAAGAAGTGTAAATGCTATTCTTTGTGTTTTTCAGATTCTTTACAGAGTTGGAAGCAAGACATCAGAATAATATCTTCATAGATGATATAAGTGACATTGTGGAAAAGCACACAGCATCCACATTTGACCCGTACGTGAAATACTGCACAAATGAAGTCTACCAACAACGAACACTACAAAAATTGTTGTAAGCGATGTTGAATGCTATGGTTTTAATAGTCTAACCTAGTTTTAATTAGGCCACATTGATTGCAATTAATTGATCTCAAATTATACTTAGAAATGCCTCCTATCAGGACTGTTTCCCAGGGGAGAAATGTTTAAGAGGATTACTTTTAGGGTGAGGTTGAGTAGAAAAATCTAGTCTGTGGAAGATTTTCTCTCCAAGGCACTTACAGAATTATAGTTTGTTGTTGTCTTACTCAGTGTTTGTTTTGTTTTGTTTTGTTAATTGCTACAAGACCCAGGGCTGATCATCACTCCAAACCCCTAGTTTTCTAAGCCATTAACTAGCAGTTAAGTGGTTTGCCTGAGGCCGGGAGCTGGTTCTTGAGTAGGTGGAGCTAGAAGCTAGGATTGAGGGTTTTCTCTGCCATTCTAATCTCCCTTTGTTCAATTGACAACTGTAACAAATAAGTTGTTTATAGGAATTGCTGATTCCCCCCGGCCCCTGGCCCCTCGGGTAGNCAGAGCTGGTTCTTGAGTAGGTGGAGCTAGAAGCTAGGATTGAGGGTTTTTTCTGCCATTCTAATCTCTCCCTTTGTTCAGTTGACAATTGTAACAAATAAGTTGTTTATAGGAATTGCTGATTCCCCCCGGCCCCTGGCCCCTCGGGTAGTTAGGGCTGAGGACAGGAGGGAAAGTCTGAAGGAAAGCAACAGGAAAACAATGTTCTTGAAGATTTTAATTATGCAACAAAGAAGAGTCAAACATTAAAGTTCCCTTCACACCTTTTCTTTTTATCCTTTTTAGGTTACTGAGAGTTTTGATGTGATATATGAGGGTACTTCACAAAGTTCATGGAAAGATTCATAATGTCTCTTAACTGTATTTTTCCACCAACTCTGTGAAGTGCCTTTGTATATGCCATCTTAAAAGAGTCAGTGATTGCCAGTAACGTCTGTGTTGTTTTATTTTTAGGGGTCCCGTTTATCCCAGTAGCTGTTTGTGTTACAGGTGTAGTTGTACATTGCCGTGAACCCAGTTTGGGGGCTTACAGGTGATTATCATCCTCACTCCCTTCTGTGAGTTGTGGCATTTATGACCCCAGCATGGCGCTCTGGCCAGCTTCTGTGCAATGTGGAGATGCCTATGAAGGGGTTGGGGTTGGTGATGATTACCTTATGGCTGCTTGGAGAAAGAGTCAAAGTCCCCCAAGTTGGTGAGAAGGGCTGATTATGCCGCCTGTTCCCCCAGCATCCTCATGAAATTCTCCTATGAGCAGGGCGGAAAACCCACAGCTGCTAGCCACAAGTGAGATTTTTTTAGTATAAAGCAGGGTTTGTCTGTACTGTCGGCATTTTGGACTGGGTAAGTCTTTGTTGTGGGGGTGTCCTATACCTTGCAGGATCCTTGGTCTCTACACAACAGTGCCAGAAATGACTCCAGACATTGCAGAAAGTCCCCCGGGCGGCAAATCACACTCACGTTTCTCCTAACCCCTCACCCTGCTGGGAGCTGCTGATATAGGGACAGGGGTGGCTCTGTAACTGTTAGAGAATGCCAGTTCATGTTAGAAAACAAAAGCCTTGAATGAGAGCTAGATTCGGGTTTCACTTTTTTTCTGCAGGGTTTAGAAAACGTGAATAGGACTGCTATACATTATGTGACTTTTAAAAATCAAGGTTTTGTCTAAATTAGTGTAATGATACTGTCTTGTGAGCTTTCACATGGAAATTAGTAATTGTGTTTTCAGGGGCTTTGTTGTAGTTGATGCGAATTTAAGATTAGAGGAGTGACTTTCAACTTCGGCCTGCCTGGGAATCTTTGTAAACTAGTAACAAACAATACTCAGAGTCCATCTAGATTATTTAATCAGAACCTTGGGGGTAGGTTGGGGAGAGGACCTGGGTCCTGAGTGATTTAAATATACAACAAGTTTAGAGTGATTTTTGTTTTTAACCTCCTGAAAATCTTCTCAAAACTGTCAAGGAAAGGAAACAAAACTTCTCAATTTGAGAAAATGAAAATAAAGCATTTCTGCGTAATTTCTTTTAATTTGCTATTCTGGGTATTTCCTGATTTTTTTTTTTTTAGCAGCCTTGAATCAAATCATCTAATTTGTGAAACACATTTTTCAAAAAAATGATTGCTCTTGCCACTGTCCTGCTTCCTGGCTGCTTTGTTCCTGGACCATAGGAGCACAGTATTCAATGCCACCCCTGCCCTCCTCCCCATGGAAAGTAGCAATAGAACTCTGCAGAGCTCCTCAGCAGGTGAAGTGAGGTGAGAGAGAGAGGCGGGATAAGAGCATCAGAACGAGGGTCGCAAGACCTCGGTTTGAGTTTACCAATCACTAAGTCTGTATTATGTGGCAAGTTAGGGACCTTTCTGAGCTCCATTCTCTTATTGGAATCCCCACCTGGACTTTTTTAAAACTTACATGGGTGGTTCCACATGTTGGAGTATCTTGCTAAGTTCCATAAAAATGTTGTGGCAGTATTGTCACTGTTCTTACGTCAGTGGGAGAGGAGGGGAAATATTCTGGCTGATGTGGTCAAAAGGTTTTCTGTCTCAGAAAGAGGACCCTTGAAAAAGGTCAGAAGCCTCCTAATAAGACCGCCGGTCTCACTGCCATTTCTTAGGCCATTGCCTAGGGCTAGAGGAGTCGCTTAAAATGCATTCGTTATCTTATTAATGGAGTGTGTTTATAGATGATCAGATATAAGATCTAGTCTGCATTCTAGTTTATAATCAATATGTTCACCATTGTGATACCATGACCTCTTTGTTTGTTCAATTTTCACCTCTATAAATTTCTAGCTCATACATTTTTTGTTATTGCTAATATTGCCATTTGAAACTCACATCTTACAATCAGCTTCGAGTATAAAAGGCAGATAAGCCGTCTGTATTTGCCTATGTAATTATGTTTATATTGTTTCCACATGTTTAAAAGCCATTGATAATGTATGAAGTTATCACAGTGTTTTGTAATACATTTTTACTTGCATCTTAACTTGAGGAGGAACCGTTGTGAAATTTCTTTTTGCTTTATTTGTATTCCCTCAGAGCCACCAATCCATCCTTTAAGGAAGTGTTGTCAAGGATCGAGTCCCATGAAGACTGCAGGAACTTACCCATGATCTCTTTTCTCATTCTCCCCATGCAGAGGGTGACCCGCCTTCCCCTGCTGATGGATGTAAGACACAACGATTGCTTTGTCCTCTGTGGATAGCTGTGTTGCTATAAATCTGATTGAGAAAATTATTCTTATTACATTTAAATTGATGCATATCCCTTCCATACTATTTCCCAATTAAGTGAGAAGGTGCTGTTTGGTTGGAAAGTCTCACCTGTGTCTGATATCTCTTGAAATTATGTTTCATTTAGGCTTGTTTGGTCATTCTGAAGAAATTAGATTGTATTAAACACTGATTCAACATTTTTTGAAATGGGAAGAATATTGGCTTCTTTAAGTTAAGAAGGCCTGGGTTGCATTCTGGCTGAGTAACCTTGAGCAAGTCACTTAACCTCTTTGGGCCTTGGTTTCCACAGGTTGATCACTAAGATCCCTCTGGTCTGTAACATGCCAAGTTGCCCTGGTGTTCCCTTTCACACAGGAATGAGAGTGTCTTCAGCACTACAAGGCATAAGCTTGCCCCTAGTGTGCGTTGAGGGAAGCGGGGGAGCAGTGGCCAGCATCCCTGTCACGCAGGGCAGCATCATGAAGAAAGCAGGTGCATGACTTTGCATACGAGCAGAACGTAGCTGGGGAAGCCACCTGAGATTGCCCGGTGTGAGGGGCCTGGGGAATGCAGCAAGGCAGGAGCGAGGGCCTGCACACTGAGCTGCAGCAGCCAGAGTGGGGCGTCGAGGATAGAAATGGGTGGTCCCCCATGGGTCCCCCCAGCTAGCAGGCCATACAGTGTCTCTTCTATCTAATTAGAATATTTTGTTACAATCCTACTTTAAAATTGGATTATTGTGTTGACATAATGTCAGTGTTTGCATATTTGATTTTTACAAATCAAAAGACAGGATTAAAATATAGTAAAAATTATGATTGAGTTACAAAGTAAATTCCATTTTCTATACTCCATTGCAAATTCTAAGAGATATTCTGAAAGAACATGGAAAAATTGAAATATGTAAAAAGCACACGATCATGGTCCCTGTGTTGACTCTGCTGCCGTTTTGAGGAGACTCTGTCATTTCAGAACTCAGAGCACCTTGCTGCTCTCCAAGTTCACCTCAGTTTACAGCCTTTACGCCCTTCCCCATCCATCACCCGTAATTTAGAAACTTCTCCTGCATACATATTGGGAAACTGTAGCTAGTTCTCTGATTTTTTTTTTTTTTTTTGAGATCATTATTTATCATGTCTAAGGATAGAGTGTAACTGGACCATCAAACCCAAACTTCGGCTTTAAAGGTCTATTTCATGTTACTTTTAAGACTTTTAGAAAAATAGGAAACTTTTATCTATACGAGGAAATATGATTTCAAACATTACTATTTTTTTAACAAAAAAATGGGTGCTTTCTATATGTAATATTTTTCTCAATGTTAGACTTTTGAATTTTCAGGATTCTTCTTTTTCTGAAACTATATTTTAGCCACGTTTCCTTAGGTGCTCTATGTGCTGTGATATTCTAGCTTTTTATGTCCTCTCTCTGTTTAACTTTGAGAAAGTTGCTTCAATAGAATGGGGCTCCCAAAATGTTACATTCCATGTTGTACAATGTTGGAGGTTTATGCCATGATTTCCCAATGGGCTCTGAATGTTTTTGGGGTCACAGACCCCTTTAAGATTCTGAGTAAAGGTGTCACCTTTCTTCCTAGAAAATTCATATGTGCACAAAATTTTACATAAAATTTTAGTGTATGGATTCCAACCAAGGACGTCTGCTCTTAGAGACAGAAACTAGCATTTCCCATAATGCTTTTATACTCATTAGCGGGTCATGGAATTGATATTTGAATTATGAGCAGTGTTTTTAAAAAATAAAACAGAATAAATATGCAATACCTGATACATACATGGCTCATAACGTAATTGAATACTGTTTCATTAAAAGCCTTGTTGAAGTCATTTGTGTGTGTGTGTGTACGTACTGGTTGTAGAATAAATGTATTTCTTACTGTGGGTCATAGTCAAAAAAAGTTTGAGATCCATGAACATAAACCCGCAGATGGAGCCCCCTGTGCTTCTCACATATCACGTATAACAATCCTGACGCCTGACTTTCACATTTGTAGGCCTGGTTCTCATCTACATTTTTTGTACCAGTGGCTTGTTAGTTGCCAACTGTTCTGCTTGATGCCTATTGCACTAATCTGTTTCCCATATGTGAGACTTTGGCCACCTAGGTAGAACCTAAATGTACTTAAAGTATTGTTTTTTTTCTATTTTACTTCATTTGGAAATTTAGTTAAACTTGTTCATTGCTGTGAACATTTCTGACAATTAAAATGGTTCCCTGGGCTTTGAATGTGTATAGTTTCAAAAGTTTTATGTAATTCAATTTACCTTGAATTGACCCTCTTTGAACTCAATTTTAATATCACAAATTAAATTTCTGGGTGTAAATATATTAAGAGAAACCCCAGCAGCCTTTGTTTCCCTGATCTTTTTATTCACGTTGTATCATCTAAATATATACTTACTTTGACCAGTAATGGTGATAAAGTGATAATTAAAGTGACACATATTTATTGCGGGCCTACAGTATGCCAGTCACTCATAAAGGACTTTACATAAATTATCATTTAACCCTTGCAACAATCTTGTGACATAGCTGGCATTACCCAATTTTACAGATGAGGAAACTGAGGCTTGTAAAGACAGGGTCAGTGACTTGAGCAAGGTCACATAACTAGTAAAGGGCACGTGGGATTTGAAACCAGGCTTACCCACTACTGAAATCTGTCCTCTTATTTTATCTATTCCCTGAATTTAACTGGATCCTGTGTATTGAAAGATTATTTCTTAGTTTTTTATATCCTAGATTTTAAAATCATTCTCAAACTCATCCATAATATTGTGTTCAGCATCATTCAATTTGCTATGAGTAAGGGGATGTAGGTGGACACTGGTTTTATTTTACTTAATAAAAAAATATAATTGATTTTTTCGCTTTTGCTTCTTTATAGACCATCTGTCAAAAGACACCTAAGGACTCTCCAAAGTACGAAATCTGCAAAAGGGCCCTAAAGGAAGTGAGCAAGGTAACTAAGTACACAAGGTAATTGTTGAGGAGCCCATCAGACAGCAAACCATGCGCATACCTTGGGAAAAAGTGTGGCTTGGTTTGATGCTGAAAACTGGAAGATATGGCGATTTGCACAGCATTCTTTGGATAGTTGAAAAACAAAATAGTGTTTGCTGTACTCAAATAAAACTGATATTTTTACTGTTTCAGACAGTTTTGCCTTAAGGGCCTGTGGCTATCTCATTTTCTTTTGGTGTCTGAATAGCTATTTATTAATTCTCTCATTCAGTGGCTATTTACTGAGTATCAGCTACTGTGCCAAACACGATGCCAGCCCCAGAAAATACGGTGATGAATAAGACAGATGTAGTTACCACGCTCATGGACTGTGCATTGTAACGAGGAAGGCAGACATGAAATAGAATTACAGTAAAGGATGGTGAGTGACGTGCTAGGGAAGCACAGAGTGACGTTTAAGCTGACACCTTTAAGCCTTTCCTTGTGAGAAAGAGAGTGTCTCAGGTATGTGGAGAGACCCAGAGGCAAGACAGTGTTGGTGAATTTGAAGAACTGGCGTGTTTTTCAGTTGACTAGAACCCAGTCTGAGAGAGAGTCCTGGGGAACCAGTCGTGTGGGGCCTTATTACATGTTAGGAATTGGGGATCTTATCCTGAGGTGACGTGGAAGCTGTGAACTCCTGTGTTAGGGAGATGGCAGTGTGCGTGGGACTAGTTATGAGGCCAGTTCCGGGGTCAGGGCAGGTGGGGAGCGCACAGCAGGACAGCAGCACTGAGGAGGCTCTGTGATTGCACGTGGAGGGCAAAGCACATGGGGAGGTGTGAGTGGTGAGGGCCAGGTTTTTGACTTGAGTAAAGGTGTCACTGAGGGTGATGCTGGGGATAGTCACTGAGATGGAGGATGTGGAGCTGGGGGCAAGGTGGGGTGAAGGTAGTGCTCAGGTTTGGCCTGCTAAGTTTGAGATGGCAGTGGGACATCCAAGAAGAGACATCATCGTCATCTGGGAAGTCTAGTCTGGAGCCCTGAGGTTGGGTGGGGTTGCCATGGGTAAAGGTGAGGTCAAGGGGCAGGATAGACAGAGACCTGGTGTGTGCGATGAACCAGGCATGGTTCATGGAACACAGCAGAGTGTGGGGGGAGGACGTGGTGTGGTGAGAGTGGAGGAGGATGAGGCACAGAGAATGTGAAAATTTCCCTGGAAATTTTCAGGACCTTTTTCCCCTCTGTCTTCACATCCTAGTCGTACTACTTCTAACTGGGTGCAACGTCGCAACTGTGTGAAACTGAGTTCTTTAACTACTGGAAAAGCAGTCTCTGGGCTTCCCAAATGCTCGTTATTTCCCTGGAGAGATGTGCATTTGGAAGTGACGTTTCTCTTCCTGACCTTTAATCCTCTTTCTTACTCTGTGTTTGCAGTTGGTTCGACTGTGCAATGAAGGAGCCCGGAAGATGGAAAGGACCGAGATGATGTACACGATTAACTCCCAGCTGGAATTTAAAATTAAGGTATAACTGCTCTTGCTTTTTTTAAAAAAAATTATTTTATTCAAAATGTTTTAACACGTACTTGTGCCTATTGGTGGGGTACAGTATGTTGTTTCAGTACATGCACATGCGGCACAATGATTCACTTAGGGTGGCTGAGCGTAGCAGCGTGGTTGAGGATGGTGGGGTGGAAAGGAGCTTGCTTTTCAGAGAGGAACCATACATTGATAAGGGAGAGGCTGGCAGAGGGAGCAGCAGATGCTTGGGGAGATTCTGCTCTTGCTTGTACCAGACAAAGTGATCTTTTTCCAGGCCGTGAAGTTAGGTATTATCTAAGAAGCACATTATTTTTTTCTAGAAAGATACCAAACTTGGAGGAAAGGGTAGTTAAAATAATGGAATTTTAGAACCGAAAGGAGATTTCTTCAGTATTCTCAAAATGTCCTGCAAAACAGTTCTGTCCATAAGCTGGACCAGAGTGTTCTAAATTGAATGACACTCCTTTTCCCGTTTGCTAAACAAATCATTAATAGACAGTTCTTTTCAAGTTTGTTTTTCTCCCATAACACTTTTCTAAATATGTGCTGCCTATTACTGCTTGTCTGATACTGTTCCTGAGCAGATGACAGGATGAACAAAGAAGAAGAAAATGACAGTTAATGGCAAATCTAGGTCATGGCTGGTCCTTTGTTGGCTCACAGCTGAGTTCTTAATGGATGTGAGTGCTCACGATTATGATTCTACTTTGTTCTACAATACGTACATTTAATGAAGCCATTTAAAATGACTGGTCATATTTTTGCCTAGTAAAAGTGTCCCTAATTTATGCAGTGGAATTATGAGCACCGCACTCTCCCGAGTGAGCCACGGGCCGGCCCTTTATGCAGTGGAATTATAATGATCAGCATTCCATGGTGTTCTGCAGAGAGCAGATTCTCTGCCATTTCATATAGTTTGAGGACCACTTATGTAGTACAGTGACACCCTTTCATATTTTAAATGAAGAAAATGGAACTCAGAGAATAATTGCAACAGAGTCACTCAGCTAGTGGTGATAAAATCAGGACAAGGGTCCAGGCATCCTGACTTGCAGGTCATTGTAAACTTTTCTACTGTAATGCCCTGACTGTAATGGTTTGGATGCAGAAACAGGACCCATAAAACAGGAGATGAGGGGAACTTGCTAAAAACAGCGCATACTTCAAATAGTTGTAATGTCCTCATACAGAAATTGACAGCAATTTCAAAACCCATTTTTCTTCCAAATCTCAAAAAGAATCTTGTCCTTCTCTTTAATTTGTTTCTAAATATTTTAGAAAATATATCTGACAACAGAAGTTATTTACCCCCTCCTCTTTAAAGATTTAAAAAAATTCCTAACCGTTTTCCTTTTTAAAGGTGATAAATCCCTGACCATTTTTCTTTTTATTCTTCACTGAATATCAGTTGGTTTAAGATTTCTTTAAGAAGCTCTCTCTCTCTAGAACCCCAAATTGATTTGTAATTGAAAATTGCTTGCCCCAAGGGTCCTTAAAATTAAGTGATTAATTGATTAATATCAGTTGATTTCATGAGTTTTGGATTGTTTGTTTTCTTTTGGTTCAATGATTAACATATTTGCAAGCCTAAGGGAAAATATTCTAAATATAAATTTACAGTGCAGCACCTAATTCAGACCATTTAGAAATACAAATTAGTACTAATTAGAGATACTTAAAAAATCTAGGACCTCTTAACACTATGGATAACAATGGACATTTTTATTCAATTCTTTTTAAAGATGAGAAAATAGAGGTTCAAAGAGGTTAAGTGACTTGTTCAAGCACATGCATCCTTACAAAAAATTTACTGTGCATGTTCTTTGTGGAAGGCAGATGGAAAACAAAAACATAACCCTGCCCTTAGGGAGCTCACAGTCTGGTAGAAGACTGTTGAGATTAAAGAGTCAACAGAGTCTATAGCTGTTACCACAGATGGAAGACCATTGAGAACTCTGGAAATGGGAGGGGGTGGGCAGCTCTAAGAGTGAGGGATGGAGGGGTGGGGAGCTGGGAACATCAGGCGAGTCTTCTTCACACTACACATGTTTGAGCTGAATCTTGAAAGGTGAGTTGGGAAGGGTCTTCCAGGAATAAAGAGCAGCTGCCGTAGCCCAGGAATTGTAATTGTTTAGTGTGGGTGGACTTGGGGTGCAAGAGTTTCAGGGCAGAAATGGGGTGGGAAGCAGAAGCTCACGTGGACGGCCCTGTGTGCCGAGAGGAGGAGCTGAGTCAGGTCATTTGGGTGCCAGTGAAAAGTTATGAGCCAGGGAAGTGACACGATCAGATGCACGTTTAGTAAGGATGACTTCAGCAATGTGGGAAAGTCTGTTCCACCTTATTCCAAATCCAGGAATCGTCAAAAGGAAAAAAGTGGTAATTTCATCTATATGAAAAATTTTTAAAATTCTCTATAGAGGGGAAAAATGAAGACCATTTTAAAAAGTGAAGGAGCAAATAGAAAATTGGAAAAAAAAAAATAGTTGCAACTCACATGTGGACAAATGGCAAATATCTCCAATATATAAAAGCATTTTTAAAAATTCTCTATAGAGGGGAAAAATGAAGACCATTTTAAAAAGTGAAGGAGCAAATAGAAAATTGGAAAAAAAAATAGTTGCAACTCACATGTGGACAAATGGCAAATATCTCCAATATATAAAAGCAAAGTGATAGGAAAAAGATAAAAAAAAGAAAATCCACAAGAAAATTGCAGATTAGAAAACTGCTGCCAGATGAGTAAATACACATGACTGTTAAACCTTTGAAAACATGCTTTACTTCACTCAGAAGAAAATTGTCAATTGGATTAAGATAATGAATTTCACCTCTTAGATTTATAAGTAATCCAGAAGTTTGATAACACGTTTTGTCAGTGAGATTGTATGGAAAGGCACTTCTGTGTGTTGCTGGTGGGAAAGATTGTTACAATCACAATGGTGGGCAATTTGGCAATAACTATCAAAATTACAAACGCAAGTTACTACAACCCAGAAATTTCACTTCTAAGAATTTATCCTGCAGATATAAACATGAGCGTGTAAAATTATACACACACAGTTATTCATATAATTCATATGTTGTTTGTAATAGAGAAACATTGGAAATAACCTAAATATTTGAGAAAGAATTTATTAAATAGATTATAGTACCCTCAAATATATGATACCACTCAATATGTAAAATTTGCTTATGCATAAGAAACCTCTGGAAAGTTACAGAAAAAACTAATAACAGTCATTACAGTGGGGGGCAGTGGTCAGTGGGTGGGAACTGGGTAGATGAGGAACAGGGTGGGGAGGAGACTTTTCACTTCATACTTTTTCATAGTACTTGCTGTTTTTAAAGAACCCTTCCCACTCCCACCCCAAATTGAATTTATTTTTTAGAACCCTTATTGTGGCAGCTGTGTGGAGGATGAGTTGGGGGGTGGAGGGCAGGGGTCATACGAGCAAGGCTGAAAACCTGTTAGGAGGCCAGCAGCAGAGCTGGAGAAACATGCAGGGGATGCCAGGAGCAGGGCAGTGGTGGTGGAGCCCCAGGGTCTAGCCTGGCTGACCTGATGGAGAGCCACACCGTCCACCAGACGGGGAATCCAGGAGGAGGAAGGAATTTGGGGGAAGGTAATGAGTTCTGTTTTGGCCATATTTGGTTTATGGTATGACTCATATTACTACTATGAGTATTGAGTATTTACTATGTGCCATTTTCACATAGTCTCATTTAATTCTTACAAGAACCTCATGAAGTATTCTGTTATTATCCCTGTTTTATTAGAATCTGAGCTAAAGAGATGAAATAATTTGCCCAAGATTATACACCAAGACATAGTGAAGTCTGGATTCAAATCTTCATCTGACTCCAGAGTCCACATTCTTAATAATGACAGTATAAGAATGCCAATCTTCTTCTAATTTGAAGGGAAATGAAGTTTGTATGTGTGTGTGTGTTTGTGCATGCACGCATGCTTACACACACAAATTTTTCATTTTTAAATTTGTAAGTCTTTGGACAGGTGTCATGTGTGAAACAGCAGTGATATGAGAGGGGTGGAAAGTGTCCCTGTGTTGGCACTTAGGAAACAAGTATAAATTAAGAGCATGGAGTCTGCAGCTGGCCACCTAAGTTCCAGTAGTAGCCCCACCTAAGTTCCAGTAGTAGCTGGAAGACCTTGGGCATTACTTAACTTCTCGTGTCTTGGTTTTCTGAACTGTAAAATAAGCCTGATAATAATACTTTCACTCATGGAGCTACTGTGGAGATTAAATTATTCAAGAGCTGTAAAGGACTTGGAACAGACCTGATTCATAGTAAGCAAGGAGTCAATATTCACGTGCTCTCGGAATAGTGTCACAGGCATGGTGGCGTGTTGAAAAGGGAACAGAATTTGCCACAATTTAAGCAGTTAGACTTTTCATTCAGGAAGTGTGGCTATCAAGAGGACAGGCCAGTGATGGTAACCAGA